TACTTGTTCTTTTAGCTAGGGTATATTAGGTTAAGGTTAATATAAGGTAAGTTGATAAATCATTGTTAGCTGGGATGTTAAGTAGTGAGAGCTTTGACTGTATTATCCCAGAAATAAAAATGTTCTTTGTATAATAATAATTATTATTCTTACTATTCCACAAAATTACTCTAATATTTTCTCCGAGGGGTGTCTCACGGTCGGAAATAGGTGTACAAATCTCAAAATGATTTCCGGAAATGTTGAGAAATTACAGAAATTCATCGAGAAATTCCCTGTAAATTGTCACAAATTATGTTAATTCTCAAAAATTATAGGAAATGTTTGGAAATTTTGGAAAATATCAGGAACTGTTAGGAAATTATTCGAAATATTGGGAAATTTTTCGAAATTATAGAAAATTTACTGAAATTGAAGATTTCATTATGAATGACTTTAGCAGAAAGTCGACAAACAAAGTCACATAACCTATAAATAGCATTGTCAATGTTATTAATTTTTTTTTCAATTTTGGGCTTAAAGGACCCCGCACACTTCTTATGGGATTTCTGACCGCGGTCAAATTTAACCAAATTTTGGCATGTTATAGATCTCACCTTTCTGATCAATAACTCTCATTGCCACAACTTAATCCTATGACTAGTTTCTGAGATACAGGTAGTTTAATGTCCAAGAAATGCACACATTTTATATGCATTTACATCTACCTGTCACCTAAAAATGCCAGGATGAACAGGTATCCTCACGCTCAGGTGACAGGTAGATGTGAATGCATATAAAATGTGTGCATTTCTTGGACATTAAACTACCTGTATCTCAAAAACTAGTCATAGGATTAAGTTGTGCCCATGGTAGTTAATGATCAGAAAGGTGAGATCTATAACATATTAAAATTTGGTTAAATTTGACCGCGGTCAGAAATCCCATAAGAAGTGTGCAGGGTCCTTTAATAATTATGGCAGTTTTTGGAGAACGTGATATGTTTTATCGAGAGGCGATGAAGCGATGTGAGTTTGGTGATTGTAAAAGTGATAGTCGAACGAGTTCCATTAAATTACCAACCCTATTTGCCTCCACTGGAGTTTAAGGTAACACAGCATCTTGTCAAATCTACGCTTTCGTAAGTATTCGGTGCATTCGCTATAGCTTCTTTGGTTGGAAAACGTTTGATAAAATCAACAGAAAGTGATGTGACAGGTGCTGTGTTACCTAAAAGTCCAGTAGAGGCAAATGGGGTCGTTAATTTAATGGAACTCGTTCGACTATCACTTTTACAATCACCAAACACACATCGCTTCATTGCCTCTCGATAAAACATATCACGTTCTCCCAAAACTGCCATAATTATTAAATTTAAGCTCAAAATTGAAAAAAAATTAATAACATTGACAATGCTATTTATAGGTTATGTGACTTTGTTTGTCGACTTTCTGCCAAAGTCATTCAAAACTGTCAGTCAAGTAAGTCAGTCAGAATTGTAAAAAGTTATCAGACGTGTTAATTCACTGAGAATAGAGAGTTATTGGACGTGCAATAAGGACAAGCAGTATTTAAATTAGCCTTATTTTGACATCTACGCATGCGCATTTGGGTCCGAAAATATGGATTCCCTTAATAAGGTTACTGCTTGTCTTTATTTGTGTATGATTAGTGCAACGCCGTAAACTTCCCTTATTTCAAATTTTTGACATTTTGGACGACTTTGACATTTCGCTTTTCCACGATGATGTAATTTTACTTAGAAAATTTATTTTTTACAATAGTTTTCCATTTTACTGTGGGTAACATCAAAAAATGGGTATCAGCAGAAAATCACAAACAAAAATAAATACTTTTTGAGGCTGAATTTTATAAACATAGCTATCAGCTGTCAAAATTATGAATACAAAATAAGGTAATACTCTACAGTCTTCCAATAACTGTTTTTTTCTTGGAAAAATAGTGCTGATGCACTAATGAAATAACGTAAATCCTTAATACTGCGAAGCAGTATTTAATAGTTCCAATAACTCTCTAATATATTTCGTTGAAAGTAGAGTCGTGTGTGCCTTATTAACAGCCCGGAAGTCCTTAATTACAACAGGTTATGGGCCCAGACATGCCTGGTCGATAAAGAAGGAAGAAAAAGGATTTCGGGAGTGAAAAAAATAGATAAAAACATAACCCAGCCTAGAGAAAATTTGTCAAATTGTCAGGTTGTGTCAATAGTACCTGCTGTTGGTGGTGTCTGGTTAAAACTGACAGAGAAAACTGGTCAAGTTGTCAGATTGTGTTAATAGTACCTGCTGCTGGTAGTTTCTGGTTAAAAAGAACTGTCCGTCAGTTAATTCAGGTAATTGACAGACGTTAAAACAAAGGGGCACAAAAAATAGAAGATTGAAGATTAGAAGGTAGAAAGGCTACAGAAAAATGTCAGACAATCACACACTGGCCGTGAAACTGAATGGAGAGAACTGGACTGTTTGGAAATTTCAAACAATGATACATTTAAAGTCTAAAAACCTTTATGGCATAGTAAAAGGTGACATATTGAAGCCTTTGGGAGAATCTACAGATAAAAAGGTGACTGATTGGTTAATGAATGATGCAAAGGCACAAGAAGTAATTGTTAGTAGGCTCGAAGAAAAACCCCTTAACCATGTGTTGGCATTTGATACATCTGTAGAAATGTGGCAAAAATTGGCTACAATTTATGAAAATAAATCACAGGTGAGTGTGCATTTATTACAACAAAGATTTTTTAGTCTTGAATTTGGAGTTGGTGGCATAGCTGAACTAGTTTCACATATAGAAGAAATACAGGGAAAGTTGAAGCAGCAAAATGAAGAAATAAGTGAGAAAATGGCAATTACAAAAATTCTCATGACTTTACCAGAGACTTTAAAGCATTTCATTTCAGCTTGGGATTCGACACCAGAAGATAAACAGACATTGTCAGAGCTTATGTCCAGGCTTTTAGTAGAGGAAGAAAGAACTAAATCAGAAAATTTAGGAGCAGCATTAGCTATAAGAAGAAAGAAAACGCGAAACTACTCATCAGGGGATCGAGTGAAGGAAATAAAATGTTTTCAATGCAACAAAATGGGACATTGGAAGAAAGACTGTCCACATAGAGAAAACAGAGTTTCTCATTGTTGTAAGAAGGAAGGTTTTTTATTTATAAAAGATTGCTGGTTTAACAAAGATGGTCAAAAATATCGAGACAAATAGAAGAAACGAAGAATAGGGTAATCAAGTAAGGGATGGAAAAAATCCAAAAGCCCATTCAACACAGGCATTGGTGGGAATGTCTAGTTTGTTAAATTACACAAACATCCTAGAAAAAACTGGAGAAACTAGAAGGAATGATGATTGGTGGCTAGACAGCGGTGCCACAGAACATATGTGTTATAGCAAAGAAAAGTTTGTTGAAATTCGAAAATCTACAGAGCTGAGAAAAGTAAAAGTTGGAAATGAAATTTTGTTAAATGTAGAAGGAATAGGAATGGTCAACGTGCAAGCATTTAATGGAAAAGAATGGATTGATACAAACTTGCTGGAAGTTTTGCTTGTACCTGAATTAGATGTTAACTTGTTTTCATTGAGTACTGTTCTTGATAGAGGCCTTGTAATGCATTCAGACAAAAAGCAATGTGAATTGTTGGATGAAAATGGGAAAATAAGAGCTATTGCTAATAGAAAAGGGAGGCTATACAAAATGAACTTCAAATACTTATACACAAGGTATTTTGTCACAATACAATCAAGTAGAAAGTTTAACTGATTGGCATCAAAAACTAGCACACATACATTTTAATCAAGTGAGAAACTTGTTAAAAAGAAGTGAAATAAAGTATAAAGATATAGATAATCCATTCTGTCAAGAATGTTTAGCAGGAAAACAACATAGACTAACATTTCCACATAGTGAGTCAAGAGCTAATAGTGTGGGCGAGCTTATACGTGGTGACTTGGAAGGTCCAATGGAAGTGTCTTCGTTGGGAGAAGCAAAGTATTTTTTGCTGTTGAAGGATGATTTTTCCGGTTTTAGATTTGTTTATTTTCTCAAGAAAAAGTTAGAAGCGGTAGCAAATATAAAAAAGTTTTTGTATCTGTAGAATTTTTTTCCAAAAAAAAAACCTATTCAAAAAAAACGATTTGAAAATCGAATTTTTAAACTTTTCCGAAAAATGCGACGATGCCGAATTTCTCATTAGTAAATCATTACACAACTCACTGCCTAGAAAGTATTTTCGTCCTTTACTACACTATAAAAAAATTAAGGATAGATATAATCCTTGAACTTATTTAATTTAATTTAAATTTCTTTAGTAGCCAATGAGACGACGTTTTCAGTCAGGTGATTATTTGTTTATACATATTATTATGTATTTGCGATTTTTATTTATTAATTTATTGAAATTTCACAGAACCAAGAACCACTTGATAGCTGGGGATGGAAAATAAGACAAAAAATACTGAGTATATTATTAATTAAACAATAGTTATTTTAGATATACCTAGGTTATCATTAAGGGCCATTTTTAGAATAAACAATTTGGAACTTTGCATAGAAGGATTGGGAACCTTTTTAATTATTAAGGGCCAAATTATGGACCAACTGGTAAGTGTCTGGTTATTGTTACCTAGCAGGTACTTTCTTATTCTCTAGTACCTGCTAGGTAAAAACCAAGGTAAAAACCAGACGTTTACCAGTCAGTTCATCATTTGGCCCTAATTATTGCTTTTAATTAATACATTTATTTGTTGTTTTAAGGGCCAAATTATGGACCAACTGGTAAGTGTCTGGTTGTTACCTAGCAGGTACTTTCTATTCTCTAGTGCATAGAAAGTACCTGCTAGGTAACAACCAGACGTTTACCAGTCAGTCCATAATTTGGCCCTAAGGGAAATTGTAAGCCAAAACAAACAAAAACAATTAAAAAATGACAAAGTCAATTCTTTTGTTCATCATGAATGAATCATCAATAAATAATTAACTAAAATCAATCAACACTTACGTCATTATTCGGATTAGGCCCGTGATTATTTTGAATATTATTCTGATTATCGTTATTCATCATAATAATAATCAAAAAAAAAAATAATGAAAATTAACAAACAACAAGATCCATTATTCAGGGGGGGACGCGAGAGGCAGCCATTGGCAAAACCTTATCAACTCGATTTTCTCGGTTTTCCGGACCGGAAAATCGTCTGGAAAGTGCGGAACTATCGGAAAAACGACCGCGGGCTTCAGGCTATCGTTTTTCGATAGTCCGGCATCGCGGTTTTGGACGAGAAACTCGGAAATTTGCGGAAAATCTGGAACTGAAGCGGGGCGCCGCAAACTTATAAACAGACGGAAAACAATATGGCCGATTCTGAGCAGGGACGAATAATCTTCCGATTTTTTGTTATTTATTAATTAAAAAAAACGATTTTTGCTTCAAACGATTAAGATAAAATTTCTATTAATTAATTGATTGAAAAATTAACGAAAACAATTGCTTAATTAGCAAAAATTTGAAACAAAATTCAAATTAATCGCTTACCGCCTTTTTTGTTGTGACCTGCCCCCTGGTTGACAGATCGATATAACAGCTGGCCAATGGCAATCGGCTATTGGTGCCGCTAAATTCAAGTTTTGTTTACTAAATTTAAAATGAGGCAGGAATTAATTAAAGAATTATGAATTAATTAACGGTGATTATCATTTGATGATAAGGATTCTCAAAAAATGTGAGCGCTCTTTTATTTTGGCTTTTAATCTTATTTATTCATGAGTATGTATCTCTTTTTAACGTAGGATAGACAGAAATAAAGCTAGTAGAACATCTAAATCGGTGAACTTTCAGATTCGAGGGGTTCTATAAGAAAGAGGGAGATAGCTATATTGTAGGTAAAAATACAGATGGAACATTAATTTTTCTTTCCGTTTTTCTTTTTTTGCATCTAATTTTCTGTTTATTCCATGCTTTTGAATTTTCTTTTATGTTTCCGATCTGAAAATGAAAAATAAAGAGCTTGAAATAAATAAATTAAGAAAATTTACAATTTCAATGCAGTTTTGATGATTTCACAGCTGCAATAAGGCTCCAAATTTCAAACTAAAAACATTGAAAAACAATTTTTTCCCTGGACATTAGAATTGGAAAACCCACTTCCAACAACTAGGTGAAGTCTTTCAAGATTCCAGTGTCCAAAATGAAAAAAACTAGACAACAAACAGTAAAATCTCACCATATGGGGTCCAGGTTTTTTTCCTCTGGGTTATTAATGACTGCCCTGTAACAAAAAGTTTTTGATTTAAAGTTTCTTGTTGTGAAAAACTTTAATTTTCAATAACATTTGCAAATTGTCACTTGAATAAGCCCAATTTCCACACCACCCTAGAGCAGTGCCGGTTTAAGGTAGTTTGCCGCCCCCGGTGCTACAAAAACTCAGCGCCCCCCGCCCGTTCGGAAAAAAACAAAACAATTTTTTTGGAGCATTTATTTCAAAAAATGTAATTGTTTTATACAGGGTATCCCAGGGAAAACAGTCCATCTTGATTTATTGGATTTGGAATGAGAATCTGGGGAAAACGATCGGACACGTCAATTTTTGATTTGAGGAGGAACCATTTTTCAGTTTTTTTAACTCCCGTAGTTTTAACTAGGGGGTTAAAATTGCTAACTAAACTGGGGGGGAACAACCCCCCAAATTTGAATAGGGGATAGGGGTCCTGTCCCTGTCCTACCTCTTTTTAAAGGTCTCATCGAGTTCTTTAATTATGACCTTTGATTTTCGTCTTATCATTTTCATCCGTAACGAAATGACAGCTTGTCAAAATCTTGAAAATAGACTATTGTTTTAGTGGGAGTAAAAGCGATATACTTACCTCCCCCTAATAAAAATACTTGAAAGTGAAGTTTTTCATCTTCACCCTCAAATCAAAAATTGGTGTGTCTGAACGTTTTTCCCGATTTTCATTTCAAATCGAAAAAAATCGGGGTGGACTGTTTTCCCAGGGACAGCCTGTAGGTATACAGGGTGAGTTACTAAGTGCGCGGTGGTCCATATCTCCTATACTAACGGAGATCGAAGAAAAAAAAAATACAAAACTTGTAAATAAAGTACTACATTCCTAAATTATTTTCCAGTATACAGGGTGGCCCAATAGCTAGTAGTGACACAAAGTTATGTTTTTTTTTAAATGACTTCCCCTGTAGGTATATTATAACATTTCTGGATTCTGCGAAAAATTATAGACATATTCCATGTACGATGTCATATACCTATCTTCAACTATTTGCGAATTGACAGTTGAAAGCTGACTTTTTTGCATCCTTGACAGACTGTAAAACCTGAACTGTTAATTCAGGGTTGCCAGATGGTTATAACTAATTTTCCCCAAAGGATTTCAAAAATACCCCAAAAATCACTGTTTGTCAACTAAAATCCCCCAAATAAATATAGATTTATTCTCGACTCATACTTGCAAAAAAAAAAGAAAGACAAATTCGTTGAATATTTTAAAATAAAACTCATACCCTTACCACTTTTTTATTTGTTTATATTTTTCCAATGAACTATAACCAAAAACTGGAATGCTAACACATAAGGACGAACTTGAAGCCTAGTGCGGCTGCTGCGGAGGGGATACCTGTTTTTGTCGCACTCATTATGTTAAATGGCGAAAATTGCTTCCAACACGTATTCCAATTGATGAAACCTGTGAAGGGAAACATGACAAAACTTTCGAAAACGTCATATGTCAGTGAGCAACAGAAAAAAACAACATTCCCCCTTGTGGCATCTGTCTTTCATGGATTCATTTTTTTGGCAGATATGGCAATGTGTGCGCATTCCAGTTTTTAGCTATAGTTCATTGTATTTTTCTAATCCCAAAAATAAAATGACAATTGACAAATGACAAATAAAATAAAATGTTGTGACTGGTGACAGAACAGATAAGTACAGTTGTACCAAGAAGTTTGGATAGTTTATTATTATATTAAGCTGTATTAAAATTTAAAATACAGCAACTTACAGCACTACACACTATAACCGCAAAGAAATGCAAAAGGCAAAATAAAAAATGCAAGCAACGTCGGTCGTTGGGGATTCCCCCGATCCGATTTGTAAAGTCAATTGTCATTTGTCATACAAATTAAAATAGATCTAGAACTGAGCGTTTGCGTTCATCCCGAGAAGAAGCAAACTGTATCTTTTTTATTGGTACTTGATTGAAAAAATAGATGGCGCAGTTGTTTTAATACATTTTTTACTTTAGTTTTATTCATTGAAATATACCCGATTTCCCCCAATAGCGAAAATTCTTACAATTCTAACCCCCAAAAAATCCCACAGAAAAAACTATTCCCCAGATTTTCCCCCATCTACTTGAAAATCCCCTAAATTTGGGGGAAAATCCCCCAATCTGGTAACACTCGGTTAATTTTACAAGAAAACAGATTTTACATTCCTATCTTAGTTTTTCATAAACTATCATTTTGACACCAATTTTGAATTTAATCCATGATTAAAAATTCCGCCTAAATTATTAATATTCGGTTAAATTCAAAGTTGATGTCAAATGATAGCTTATGAAAATCTAAGATAGGAATGTAAAATCCGTTTTCTACGAAGGCGTAGAAGGGACATTTATTAAATTTTTATTTGCTGGTAGTGATGCACAATTAATTCCGTGTTAATTAACTCGGAATTAATCCCCTCCTATTTAATTACGTATTAACTAACTCGGAATCAATTTCCTCTTAGTTATAATTTCGTGTTAAGTAACAGGGAATTAATATGCTCTTATTTAATTTCGTGTTAGGTAACTGGGAATTAATCCCCTCTTATTTAATTCCGTCTTATTTAATTTCCTCTTAGTTATAATTCCGAGTTAATTAACACGGAATTAAATAAGAGCAGATTAATTCCCAGTTACTTAACACGAAATTAACTAAGAGGAAATTGATTCCGAGTTAGTTAATACGGAATTAAATAGGAGGGGAATAATTCCGAGTTAGTTAACACAGAATTAATTATGCATCTCTACCAGCAAATAAAAATTTAATAAATGTCCCTTCTACGCCTTCGTAGTTTTCCTCTAAAATTAACCGTTTAGGTTTCACAGTCTGTCAAAGATGCAAAATGGTCAATTTCAACTGTCAATATTTCACAGTTGAAGATAGGTATATGACATTGTACATGAAATATGTCTAGAGTTTTCCGCAGAATCCAGAAAAGTCATAATATACAGAGGGAGTCATTTAAAAAAACATAACTTTGTGTCACTACTAGTTATTGGGCCACCCTGTATACTGAAAAAAAAACTTAGGAATGTAGTAATCATGTTTATCTACAAGTTTTGCATTTGCTCCGTTAGTATAGGAGATATGGACGACCGCGCGCTTAGTAACTCACCCTGTATATTTATTATGGAACGACGCCACCGCCGAACAATATTATTATTGAGAAAATATTTGGTTTGATTTTCTATTTTCTATGCTTTTCCATCCATAGACGCGTTTCGACCTATCAGGTCTCATCAGTATGGCTAGGAAAAGCAAAGAAAACCAAACCAAGTTTCGTGCCTGTAGGCAATATATACATAGTACAACGGTCGAAATTTGATCGTGGCGCCATCTAAGACAAAACCTCAACACCAAGCAGCAATTTTCGCTGCAATATGGTGACTGAGAATCTAATCGGCCGACCAAAATTCAGTTCGTGGGAAAACCCAGAATCATCGGTGGATAATAGGTTTTCCTATTCTGGGTTTTCCCACGAACTGAATTTTGGTCGGCCGATTAGATTCTCAGTCACCATATTGCAGCGAAAATTGCTGCTTGGTGTTGAGGTTTTGTCTTAGATGGCGCCACGATCAAATTTCGACCGTTGTACAATATTATTATTATCTTGAAATGAATAGTTGAAGTGAGATGCGAGCTGACTGTTATCTGTTATCGTCCGGGGCCCGATTCTCGGACAGGGAGTAGAGCTCCCCGATAGAACGAACTTTTTTGTTCTTGTCAACGTAATCGAAAAGTAAACGGGAATGATAAAGACAAAAAATGTATTCTCTCAGGAAGCTCTACTCCCGGGCCCGAAAATCGGCCCCCGCACCTACAGAATTTAAGTAGAGCTGGGCATGGCTATAGAGACGGGTGTAATATGAGTGTAATCGTACTTACTTATTTTTTCTAGACGTATGGGTAGTAATCCCTAAAGTAAACTTCTAGCTTTTTGCTTTGATTTTTCGTATTATGGTTCAAGAAATAAAAACGTAATAATAAAGAGGATACATTGAAATTTTAAGGGTCGTTACGCGCTTCGCGCGCGGCCCCTAATAGTCCAAGAGCCCAGAGCCGCCAGACACAACTTATT